GTACTGTCTTTATATGTCATTGTGTGTACTCCCTTCCCTATACGTTGTAAGCCGCCCTGAGTCCCCTCAGGGAAAAGGGCGGCCTATAAATAAATTTATCTACATCTACATCTACTCTTGACAGTATAAATATGTAATAAAACAATTATCAGATGCTTTTTGAGACTTCATGTGAAAGCTGCCTGAAACAATCCAATCGTAATTTCATAGAGTTGCAGTCATTCATTTCTCAATGTATGTTTGCCCAGCATCAGAGTAGGATATACCATTGTAAGATCTTACCTCTGAGTGTGAGAGAGTAGTATAATGGTGGGGCAATTGAAACAATCATTATTCCTTGGTGAAGCAGTTCTCAAAGCACTAGTGCTCCCCAGCAGTGAGTAAAAAAACTATTCCTAGAGGCTGGATTGATTATTCTGATCAAATAGTGAAGCAAATACAGCTATCAATATGATTGCACCTGAGTACCTTCTCCAATGCTGTGGAAGTTTAAAAATATCTGATTTTTTAAAACAAGTTTGATAACAGATGGAGCACTTGTAAGAATTACAGGTATAAGACTTACTATGAGGATAACTGAATCCATATCAAAACACATTGCTACTTTTCGCTATGAGAGCAGCAAAGAAACATTTACCTTGCAAAGCTTGCTGCATCATCAAATATCAATAATCACCTAATTGGAATTTGCTTAAAGCAAGTGGCAAGTGCCATCCCTTCAACATTCATCTGACAGCACCATAATTTCAGTGCCAAGCAAAGATTTTCAAAGGTCTTAATGTATCAGGAGATGTTATACTTGTACTATTTTTATTCAAATAGTTATAACTGTGCAAGCTTTTATCGTTTTATAGTTCATGTACCATCTTTTAGACTGAGGCTGTCAATAAATTTCATAAATAAATAACATAGTTTTGTTACTTTCATTCTCCCTCACCCTCCAAAACTGAACATGTTCCCACATTCACAGTAATTTGCTACCTGTATCAGCAGACTTTATCTGTCCTCCACCATGGATATGATTCAGGAGATGATATAGTAGCTTCCAGAATGTTAAACTCTGTTTAAAATAGAGAACACTGAAGGCATTTGCTGTAGTTTACATGACTTTGCTTAAACCCCGAACCTTTGTTTCATTCTATCCCCTTGTCAAATATATAAATACTAGATGGTTCTCCTTTAAAAGAAATCCTTTTAAAACTTCCAACTATAATAAATTTATGTCTAGAGTCAGAAAAGGAATTAGGTCAGATCTGACTAGTATTTGAATGGGACATCTAATTCAATTGTAAGGGTCAAAAGATAAACAATAGTAAATTGTTTGATTCATAAGGTACCACCAGATATATTTTTTTCTTAAAATATGGTATTTAACAGTTAGGTACTTTTTATGGCTCCCCAATTGATTGCCATTGAAAGTGCAGATTGTCTAATTAAATAATAAACAGAATAAGCATATTTCAACTGCAGACTTCTTCAAAAAAAGTAATCATGATTTTGGAGAATATTGAAACTGAATTAACTCAGAGATATAATTTTCATATTTCAATGTATCAACAAATGTGCATCTAATATCTATATAACAGTGGGACAGGTGCATTTTGGGGTATATTCACAAGTAAATGTGAAGTTTTTAAACTTCATTAGCTGTTTAGTGATGGAATATTTTTTGTACGTTATTTTTGCATGGTTTTTCGTTTTCTCTTCTTACTTGGTGCTCTCTAATCACCTATACGTTACCAAATTTCTCTTAAAAACATAAGCAGCAGCTGACAAAATAAATTAGTACATTGGAGTTTCGTTTTAAAAACTCGAGCCTCTCAATAGACATTGGTTATACTATCTCTGTCGAGCACGTAAAATCAGCTCTGTACAGTCGGAAGCTCAGAATAAAGAAGTGAGACTGTTTCCTAGGATATAGTCCCTGAAGGGAAGAAAGCCCTCTTCAGGGCAGTCATTTTCTACTGAAAAGCTGCCAACCAGACGCTTTTCCTAGTCCAGTGTTTTTCAACCACTGTGCCGTGGCACACTAGTGTGCCGTGACATAGTNCCCATTTTTGGCTGTGTCTTATACACCGAAAAATACGGTAACTACTTCATGCTCTATCTCCCATTAGGCTCCTGAGTCCAATGAAAGTTACTGGTAATCACACATAAAGCCCTATGTAACAGGGGGACTAGGTTACTGCAGGACCACCTTTCTCAGATCACCTTCTATTGTCCCACATGTTCACAGGAAGGGCTCACTTCAGATTCCTTCATTGAAACAATGACATCTGATAGAACATAAGAGGTATGCCTTTTCCAGTACAGCACCTATCCTCCTCCTTCTTCCAGCATATATTTAGTCCCAATGTTGTTGGCTTTGAGAAAGATATTAAAAAATTGCTTTCCTTGCATATTGGGGACAGGATAATAGAAGATCCCACTTAAGCTGGAATTTTAATTGGGTCTCAATTTTTTTTCTTAAAACATTTTAAATTGATGTATGTCACATAGAATCTAAGCTGTGCTATCATATGAAATTATTAAATAACCAATAAATATGAATTTTTGTGGTTACACTTACAGACCTAGCATGTTGTTTATTTATTTTTTATTTTTAATCATAGCAATAGTAATAAGATGCCCTTCGATGCAATCTGAAATCATCTGGAGCACCACTTGAATACGATCAGCATTGACAAAACAACATCAGTTAATTGCAAAGAGAGCTTTATCTGGAATAGCTTACATCTTGAATAATAGTTTTTGCACCATCAAACAATAACATCTGCATATCTCAGGTTCTTGGGAAAGACTCAAATGTCAATTCTAGTCTAACTATCTGGTTGACAGTTTGATCAATTATAATAACTTAAAACTTTTATGTAACCCAAAGTATAGTAAACGTTTGCTTTGGATCACATTCCTGTGAAGTAGTGGTGGGTTCCTGCCAGTTCTACCCTCTTCTATAGAAAAGATTCCACAAATCTACCGTGCCGTTTAGAACCGGTTCCAGCTCCCTCCCCTGCCCATCCACAGCACGCTTGCCCCGCCCACCACTCACTGATTGGCTGGCTCACCAATCACCCCGCCCGCCTCTAAGAGTCCTATCTTAGAGGTCTTAAAGCTGTCGACTTTGAAAATCCTTGGGATTTTTTTTCTAAAGGGTTAGGGGTGCAAAGGTCGTGTAACTTGACAGCTTTAAGACTTGCACACTTCAATGCCAGAGTT